CAGCGGGCGGCTGCCCCTGCGGCTGGAGTGGCTGTCACTGCTCACCAACCGGGAAGCCATGATGGAGGTGAGTGTGGGTGGCGTGAGCCCCGAGGCGGAGGGCTGACGGGCCCGTGTGCAGGTGGGGAAGGAGATGATGAAGCGCCCCTCGCCCCCAACTTGTCACTCAGCCCTCAGCGTCCTGTAGGGCAACTTGTGACCTCCCGGCAGCCCAGCCGTCTTCCTGGGAGACGGGGTCCTTAGCGCTCATGTCAGCTGCTCCCCGTATCTGACTTGAGTCTCCCGTATTGCTGCCGTTGCATTCTGAGCCCAGCAGAGCTGGGTGCGAGGCTGCAGCCGGGCTGGGGTGAAGGCTGTCGGCCCCTCCTGGGTTGGTGTCCCCAAACCAGCCTGCCTTCCTGCCGGGGCGCCGGGGGAGGGCCTGTGTCTGTTTACAGGACCCCAGAGGCCTTTCCACCGCCATCCTCATGGTGTTCTTGGAGAGTGCCTGCAACCTACCGGTAAGTGGACACCTGTCCGGAGTGTCACCCCGCCTCGTGCCCACCACTTCCCAGTGTCTGTGCGTCACCTTACCCCACTCTTCCTGTGCCGCAGAGGAGCCCTTTCGACTATCTGAACGGTGAATATCGAGCCAAAAAACTCTCCAGGTTCGCCAAGGTCAGTGGGCGCACGTGTGAACGAGGGCAGATCATGGCTCCTTCTCCCGAGTGACCTGGCCCCTGGCTTCCTGCCGCAGTCTGCCCATGGCTCAGGGGTGGCACCAAGTCTGCTATGTGCTGGGCATGGGGTTTGCCACCTTGTCCCCACATTCCTTACGCCCACGTCTAGACCACGTCTAGCCACCAGGCCCCAGAAGGCTAAGCACCTGGGTGGCACCGCTGAGAGGAGCCGGACTTGCCCCCTCGCGTCCGGGAACATGTGCGTGTGGCCAGCCCAGCTCTGGCCCTGGTCTCCAGCGGGGACCTCTCCCTGGGCAGTCCTGCCCTGGAGGCTGGGCAGTAATGGCAGCCCAGGGCCGGGGTGTGTGCGGGTCCCCCAGCTCACGCTGACGGTGTCCGGTCATGTCTGTGCATTCGCCCTTCACAGAATAAGGTCAGCAGAGACCCCTCCTCCTACGTCAAGCTCTCCGTGGGCAAGAAGACGCACAGGAGCAAGGTGAACGCGGTGTGCGGCGCCAGGGCAGGAGGCGAGGAGGGGTGGCCGCCCTGCGTGCCCAGGCGGCGCCAGGTGCAGCCTTCAGTCACCGCAGCGTTGCTCTGCGGCTCAGGAAGCTAAGGGCTCGCCAAGGGCACGCGCCTGGGGCTCAAGCCACATGGTTTCGAAGCCCAGGCCTCCCCCATTCGCTGAGCTTCTGTCCCGCAGCAGGACCCTGCGGGCCGCCCTGCAGTGGGGCTGACGCGCACTGGTTTGCAGCCCCCATGAAACTTCCGGGCAAAGCTCCTGGCCTGAGCCTGGCAGCTGCCTAGTGCCACCTGCCAGTCCGGGTGTGCGGGTCCAGGGAGGTTCCCAGCGCCCCCTGGTGGCCGGTGCCAGGGGAGGAGGAGCCGGCGTCCAACTACCCAAACTCACCCTCAGTGCTCTCATCTGTCCCCAGACCTGTCCCCACAGCAAGGACCCCGTGTGGAGCCAAGCGTTCTCCTTCTTCGTGCGCAGCGTGGCGGCCGAGCAGCTCCATGTCAAGGTTTGCTGGAAGCTGAGAGGTTTCTAAGGCAGGAGGGGGAGCTGGCCTGCCCCGAGCAGGCTCTCCTGGCTGTGTTAGGGATACTGCCCCACGGCCTCACTCCTTGCGGCTGGTGCCCAGGCTCCCCGTGTAGAGGACGTGGGAGGACAAACCCTCCAGCCCCTTGGCTTTCCTTGCAAAAGGGTCTTTATAACTGTCACAGGGTACCCAGAAGGCCTGCTTTGGAATCTACCAGAACGATAATGGTACATTTAAAAAAAAAATGTTTTCACAAAACACCCTGGAAGAGCACTATAATCTTTATTTGAGCAAAGAGAGACTAAAACAATGACCTGTCCAGGATCCCCTGAGCAACAGAGGTGGAGCTGAGACCTTTTGGGACCCTGAGCCCTGTCGGCTGTCCCATCACGGAGCAGCCCTGCTCGCCAGTCCTCAAGGCCCCAGTGGCTCTGGGCGTGTGACAGGCTGTCCTCACACAGATCGTGACGGTCTCTACCCTGAATCACTCTGACCGCTGGCAGGGACCAGGTCTGGGCTGGCCCCATCATTTTCAGAGTGGGCCCAGGTGTCAAGAGAAGCTTGGTACCTACTTCCCAAAGTGGACCCAGGCCTGGCCGGGACCCCGGCAGGGCAGTGCAGGCGGGGTCTCGTTACCCTCTGGTTCTACGGCTGGCCCTCTGCCCAGGTGCTGGATGATGACCAGGAGTGTGCTCTGGGCGTGCTGGAGTTCCCCCTGTGCCAGATCCTCCCCTACGCGGACCTCACTCTGGAGCAGCGCTTCCAGCTGGATCACTCGGGCCTGGACAGCCTCATCTCCATGCGACTGGTGCTGCGGGTTAGTCTCTCCTTACTCCAGGGGCGGGAGGAGGTGGCCTGACCGTGGGCCAAGGTGAACGCCTTGGCCCTGAGTACCTGCTCTGTGTCTAGAAGGTACTAGGCTATAGATCCATGGTTGTTTTTAAATCATTTAAAAATACTGTCAGTCTTTATCTCTTCAGATATTTCCTCCCATTCTTTTTTTTTTTTTGAGAGTTCTTTTTTTTTTTTTGCTATAGGGCACGTGCACTTGCCAGATATTTCCTCCCATTCTTTTTTTTTTTTTGAGAGTTCTTTTTTTTTTTGCTATAGGGCGCATGCACTTGCCAGAGAGACAGAGAGAGACAGAGAGACAGAAAGTGAGAAATCACCCCCTGGGGGGGGATGGCCATGCCACAATCCTTTCTCCTCCATTCTCCTCTCGGGATCTTGGGCACGCACACACACGCGCCTGGCGTGAGTTTAAGCCACTAGGTCCGGGATTCGAACCGCGGTCAACTACGTGGGAGTTCAGCGACATAGCCATTACGCTAACTGCTGGTCCCATATCTGGCATTTCTAATAAGAGGTTTTCCAGAATATTCGAACCACTATTATTTACAGCTGAAAACAGAAGTCCTTAGGGAAGGTCTTGATACTTGCCAATGAAGGGGGAGAGATGGGAGGAGATACAGTGGCCGAGGTGGAAGTGGAGATCCGACCCATAACCACCCTCTCATCTGCTTGCAGTTTCTGTGTGTGGAGGAACGAGAGCTGGGGAGTCCATACACAGGACCCGAAGCCCGAAAGAAAGGCCCTCTGTTCATCAAGAAGGTGGCCGACAGCCAGGGTCCTGAGGCCCCAGCCCAGGGAGAAGGCCCCACACACTTGCCATGTCCTCCAAACCCTACCTCTGACACCAAGGATGCCTGCAAGGGCAGCCCGGCCCCCAGCAATGCTGCCACCGAGCCCATACCCCAAGAGACAGGCCCAGAGCCCCAAGGCAAGGACGGTGCCAGAGGGTTCCGTGAGCCCCTGGGGGAGAAGAAGAGCTCAGCCACCACCTTCCTGACTGTCCCCGGCCCCCACTCTCCAGGGCCCATCAAGTCACCCAGGCCCGTGAAAGGCCCTGCCTCCCCATTCGCATGGCCGCCCACGCGGCTGGCTCCCAGCATGTCCTCGCTCAACTCCCTGGCCTCCTCCTGCTTTGACCTGACAGATAACAGCCTCAACACTGAGTATGCATCGCTCTGTAATCCTTTCTGAACTCACCTGCACGAAAAGTACCTCGGATGGAAACGCAGATAGCACTCCATTCTGTGCAAGCCCTGGATTGTCCTACAGTACCTTAGGAGAGGCACCTGCTGTGGTAGAGGACGCAGGATGGGGAGGCCCCGACAGGCTGCTCTGGCTGCTGGCTGACCACTCACTGGGCTCGGCCGGCTAAGGTCCCCTCCAGCAGAATCATTTCTTCAATTCTAAAGGGTTATCCCGGGGTGATACGGGAAGCTTAGCTGCCACCTGTTAGGTGGTGACCGTGGGCTTAGCGCCGTATCTGCCTTCATTCGCCCCACCCAGTAACGCTGTAAGAACTTTGCACAACGGGCAGGGCCCACGAGGAAGCTGGTAGAAAGGCGGGTGAGGGCAGAGCCACCCCGGCTTTGCACTCTCCCCCCTGCGGAGTGGCAGCTATCCACGAACGCTGGATGGCAGACTCCTGACTTCCTGGGAATGAGCTGGTAACCCTCAGGGCTGTCCACGCTCCTCACTAGAACATGCTTCTCTGTCTTGGTCGGGGGAGGGTCGAGGTCTGCAAGGACGCACGTGACGGGCCCTTTGCTTGCAGAGGCTGGGACGGCCGGCAGCGGCAGCTGGGGGAGGTCCGGCTCACGGTGCGCTACGTGTGTCTGCGGCGCTGTCTCCGCGTGCTCGTCAACGCGGGGGGTCCTCCGGGGCGGGGGGCGGCGACGGGGCGGGCACCCAAGGCAGACGCAAACACAATGGCAAGAAAGAGCAGAAGACCTGCTGTGAGGGATAAAGAATTTTTTTTTTCTTTTTTTTCTTTTTTTGGAGAGGATTTTGCTATAGGGCATGAGCGCTCGCCAGAAAGAGAGAGACATAGAGACAGAAAGCGATAAATCACACAGGGGGGATGGCCATGCCACAATCCCTTCTCCTCCATTCTCCTCTCGGGATCTTGGGCACGTACACACACACGCCCGCCGTGAGTTTTAAGCCACCAGGTCCGGGACTCGAACCGCAGTCGACTACATGGGAATCCAGCAACATAGCCATTACACTAGCTGCTGGTCTCCATGAGTGACGAAGTCCTCACAGGGACACGGTGGTGGTCACTCTCTAGTGCTGCTGGTAGGCTCAGGGTCAGGGGATCTGCCGAGAGAAAACCACCGCCCAGGGGAGCTGGCAGCACCTTCTGCCACGTGAGCATCGCCACCCTCCTCAACCTCTACAAAACGCACACACGTTCCCAAAACTGCGCGTCCGATGTTTTGGCCCAAGTTCTGCGGAACTGTCCTTTTGGTTCCCTGGACTGCCTAGTGTTTTATCTTCGAGCCCCTGGAAAGCCGACCGGCTCGCACAGCGCTCTCCCGCGTGGTGCTTTCGGGGTTTGAGAACAGGCCTCTCTTCTCTTGCTGTCTCTGAAACAATCAGAAACCTGACACCCTGTAGCAGCAGTGGCGCTGATCCCTACGTCCGGGTCTACCTGCTGCCCGAGAGGAGGTGGACGAGTCGCAGGAAGACTTCCGTGAAGCACAAGACCCTGGAGCCCCTGTTCGATGAGACGTGAGTAGGCCCATGGCCAGTCTGCAGCACAGCGCCCACTCACGGATTTGGAAGGGCCAGGGTGGCTGGACAAGACGTGGTCTCTGACTTCACGAGCGTCCATACTGTAGTGGGAGGCCGGCCACGGCAGCTGGCTTCAGTGGCCACACATTACTGTCCACCACGGTGAGCTTTCCTGATGGGAGACTGGTCCGTACTTTAAAGGAAGCCTCTTTGGTACAAGAGGATTTAAACTAGGCCTGTCTATGTGTAAATGTATTCAGATCCAGGAGTTAAAAATAATCATTCCTGAGGCCGGCAGTTGGTATGGTGGTTAGGGGCATTGGACTCCCACTGGCAGACCATGGTTCAAGTCCTGGACCTGACAACTTGCTTTCTCATTTTACCCCTCTCTCTTTT